TGAAAGTAATTATTTGAAAATCTATTTTCCCTCACATGTATTTTTAGTTATGCTTTCTCTCAAAAAAATATATATTTTTTTACTTTTTTCTATAATATTTCTTTACTTTATCATCACACATTCTTCAAAAATACATTCAAATAGTCACTTTCACGGAAGAATTTAACGTTCCAATAAATGTATTTTTTTATTAGCTAGTGATATGAATGCCACGATTTTAAAAGGTCTAGAACGTGTGTATCATAGTTATGAAAGGTCGAGGATCCCTAATGAAATTTATCCTATTGCCACCCTTCTAACATAAATCAACACAATTTTTTGTAATGCCTAACAATTTTACATCATTTTATTTTGCAATATGATTTGAAGCCTATGTTTGTTTGTCATTATTTGCTTATTAAAATAAAAAATATGATCGTTATTCATCAAATTCACCGATCATATTTAACTTTCTATCTCTTATGTGGGGTCCGTAACGACTATATTTTTATTCTCATTCTTACATTAATGTGGCTCAAATAGGACCATATTCACATAAATCTAATTTACTTTCTCGTGCATAAGTTCAACAGTAAGAAACTTTTTAGGATATTAGTTGGTCAAAATTATTACGATATTGACTGAAATTTTTAGCAATTTTTGAAAATAAATTATATAGAAATTAAATAGTTAATAAATTTGAAATCGACTACCCGAATATTTCTCGCCAATCAAATATTTAATACAAACTTATAACTCTATAAAAATTTGACCTCGACAAATCCACGTGCAAATGCAACGGACAAATTTGGATAGAAGCACTCCATCCCTATGCGTGGATGTTGGAAAGTAGTGCGGGCGGCGTGATATTTATTTTGTTTAGTGGTTACAAAATGACAGAATAAATAAATAAATAAATAAAATAGAAAAATGCTGTAGGTACTTAATTATTAGCACACAAAAGTATTCACCCTCTCACATAACATGGGATCCACTGAATTATATTGGTATAAAAAGGTGTCCACCTTCTCACATAGCATGGGATTTACTGGACCAGTGGGAATTATATTGGTATACAAGGATGTCTACCTTCTCACATGGCATGGGATCCAATGGACCATGTAAGAGGGTGGACACCCTTTTGTACCAATATAATTCAATGGATCTCATGTCATGTGAGAGGGTCACTGGCCCACTAGACCTCATGTCATATAAGAGAAGTACCAAAAATTATGTGTAAGAATCGTTATCCAATAAGGTGTTGGGATCTTTCTTCGTTTCTTTAATCAAGATTAGACACCAAAATTTATCTTAATGGGTGAGAAAAAAATACATAATTTCTGTATCTTTAAATTGGTGAAGCAAACATATAATCTTGACTTGCCTTTTGATTTAATATATATATATATATATATATATATATATATATATTAACCTAGTCTAAATTTTAGTAATAAGTAATTTGCAAAAAAAAATTACATTTTACCTATATTTGGTCAATTGTACTTGTTTAAAAGAAATTATAATCTCATTATAATTTAAAAATTAAAATCAAACATTAATTTTTATTAAACCTTATTTAGGACTTATAATTACAACACATTTATTATCAAAATATTTCGTGATGTACTACCTATTTTCATTATAATCTCATTATATTTTCTTTCAAACAAATACTTAAATCGATTGACTTTACGAAATTTTGTTTCCATTATTTCTCAAATTTAAAATCTAATATGACTCTTGACCTTGTCATGTTATTCTACGAAGATTAATCCAAATTTAAGTAAATTGAGAATGAATAATTCAGTCAAACAAATATATACAAGTACGAAAACAATAAGTAAAAGGGAAGAAATTGTGCAAACAATATAATTATAGAGGTTCGATCCCAACAAATGATATATGTCTTCTGTTACAAAGATCTTCGTTACAAGTAAAATCTCTTTACTAAATTTAATTGACTTATGGTGCAATTCAAACCCTTACAATTCTTCTGGTGAATTATAAATAAGGAGCACATATCCTATACAATATTGAGTTTTTCCGAGTCCTCAATATGACTCACAAAATTAAGGAGAAGTTATTTTACTATTTGAAACTTATCTCTTAATAAAAATTATAACTCGCACACTTTTCAAGCTCCAAAGTTGAGATTTTTCACTCTTCGCAGAAAAAAATTTTCAAAGTAGCAAATTTCCCTAAAATTTTGAAGCCATAGATTTGGTGGATTAGAATGATATGTTTTCTTCATTTAAGGTGAAGTAAGTTGAGATTTGTTGTTTGTTGTTTGGCAGTTTAAGTAAAAATGGGTGAATCCGCAGGATGTCAACACACAACAAAAAGTCAACAAAAAAGTTCCCCGAAAAAAATGAAAATCATACTCTAAATACAAAATGAAAAAATGGGTTTTCGAATATTTACCTTCTTAGCTTAGAAAATCAAATGCAGAATACAATAGGCTTCCAATGGAACGAAACCTTAGTGTATGTTCTCTTTTAATTTCTGTATGTTCTTAACATTAGAGTATCTTCTCTTCAATTTCCCTAGTTGGTGTCATTGGACGTGCCGACTTTGGGCGGCGACGCTGGCAGGGAGAATGGGATGGGTTGGGATGGGTGAAGAAGATTTTATTTCTCTCTTTTTAAAAAAAAAATTAATAATAATTCAAAGTTGTCATTTTACCCTTTTTAAAATTAGTTAAAATCAAATTATTGGATTAACTAATGGTCAAACTAACAGAAATCATCCATTTGAATTTCGAGTGCAAATCTTTGAAAGATTTGGTACTATGGGTGCAACAAAATGAAGGTTTAGGCAAAGTTTGCTTAATATCAAAATATATGGTACCATGATTGCAATTTTCCCATTAGATAAGATTTAAGCTCCTATGTTATTTACATTACGTAATTATGATTTTGAAACTTTTCTTTTTTGTTGAAAACTTTGAAAAACTATATAAAAAGTTCCTATAGATCTATTTTAGACGTTTGATAGATATTATTTTAATATTAAATAATTTTTAGATTGATTAAAAATTAAAAATAATAATATCTAAGAAAACATTTTTTACGCTTTTTATGCTTAGATCTCTTTTAGGCTCGTCTTGCTCGAAACTTTGACCTCCACACAAATATATGTTTTTTAGAAGACTGCAAATTATTATAATATTGACTTATATTTTTATCAATAATTTAACTAAATCATATAGAGATTAGAAGGCTAATAGATTTGAAATTGGCTGAATGAATATTTTCCAATTATGAAATAATGGGAAGCGTTCTTCCTACACATGAATTTAACAAGTATTTTTAAAAAATAATCGTGACCTTTAGATGAAGCAAATACAATGGTTAGTATCTCATGGATCTCGAGTGGTTATAATTAATTCTTCCATGATCCTAGTGAAATACATACTGACCGTTGAATTTGTTTAATCTAAATGTTATAATTATTTGTCAAAAATACTTGTTAAATTCATATAAAGGAGGAACGCTCTCCATACATAATAATACAAACTTATAAAAATTTGACCTCAACAATTACATGGCAAATGCAACGGAAAAATTGGAATAGAAGCACTCCATCCCTATACGTGGATCTTGGATAGTAGTGTGGGCGGGGTGATATTTATTTTGTTTGGTGGTTACAAAATGACAGAATAAATAAATAATGTTTTGGGACCTTTCTTCGTTTCTTTAATCAAGATTTGACCCCAAAATTTATTTTAAACGGGTGAGAAAAAAGTACATAATTTCTATATAATTAAATTGGTTAAGCAAAACTTATAGTCTTGACTTGCCTTTCGATTTAATTTATATATATTGACCTAGTCTAAATTTTAATCACAAGTAATTTGTAAATAATTTTTCAAATTTTACGTATATGCTAGGCACTTGTGCTTGTTTAAGAGAAATTAATTTTAACTATACATTATTTAGGACTTACAATACATTTGATGAGATTCACTACCTATTTTCATTATAAGCCCATTATAATTTCTTCCAAAGAAATACTTAGAGTCCGTTTGGTAGTAAAAATGGAATTGAATTGCCTAGAAAATGAATTCCAGGGAATTGAATTGCCTAGAATTATTTTCCTGAGAATTGTAAATTATTGTGTTTGATTAGTATAATTTTTCAAGTGGAAAATGTTGAAATAAAAGTGTTTTTTTATGTTCGTTTGACTTTGTTTTACATAGATATTGTCAATTAAAGGAAAATATTTTTTTACAATAATTCTTAGAATTGGTTTTCATTACCAACCAAAAAAACAAAAAACAAAAAGTCGCTACAGTGGGATGGTGAGAATTCAAATTCCACCAAAACAAGGAAAATTCCAAGTTTCAAGAAATCCAAGAAATGCAATTTCATGAAAAATATAAGGTATCAAACACCAAAAGTTGGAATTTTCAATTCAAATTCCATCATTTTTTTTCCATTTCCATGCTATCAAACACTCCCTTATAATTGATTGACTTACCAGTTCCTATTTGATGAGGATTAAAATCAGATTTTTAGTAGATTTTAATAATCGAACAAGATTTGTTGTCCTACCAATATATTTACTATAACTCACATATCACGTCTATTTACCAATGGAAATATTCCAACTCGTTTTTTCAACAACTCAAAGCATTTTACTAATGGAAATATTAGTTTTAAAAAAAAAAGTACAATCATGTTACAAATTCAAACTCAAATTAAAAAAAAATATTTGTCGACACATAATTGAACGATTTAAAAAATAAAAATAAAAATAAAAATATTCAATTATTTTCTGACACATCAATTCATATTTTCACTTTTCTATTTTTTGAATCTTGATGAGTGGCTTTATTCAAATACGGTAATCTTTCGAAATACGCCCAAAAATTGAGAGAATAGGGTCTCGAGAGACAACAAATGTCACATCATTTTTAACGCGCCTCGTAGTGATTTATCCAATAGCTAAAAGCCTACAGTTTTCCATTTGCCTATCACTATCATTCACTAACGTATACTTTGATATTTGTCTCTTTCTTGGGGTTTTGTTTCCCATTTTGCTTCATCACCACACATCTGTGCAGCCCAACTAACTCAATTTCTGGTTAGCTTAATTTGTTGATGCATTAAATTCTCATTACTCTCTCCAAAAAGGATATCCATTCAGTAAGCTCCCAAAAATGGCAGATTCACCACAGAGTCCTGAGTCGCCATTAGAGTCCATGCAAAAGAAGTGTAATAAGAGAGCAAGAGATAGCGGGAGTAGGCACCCGGTGTATAGGGGTGTGAGAATGAGAAGCTGGGGAAAATGGGTGTCTGAAATTCGACAGCCGCGTAAGAAATCGCGTATATGGCTCGGAACTTATCCCACTGCAGAAATGGCTGCTAGAGCTCACGACGTGGCGGCGCTGAGTATAAAGGGTAACTCAGCATTTCTTAATTTTCCTCAACTCAGTGAATCGTTGCCCCGTCCAGCTTCGCTTTCTCCGCAGGACATCCAGGCTGCAGCGGCTAAGGCGGCAGCAATGGAGGAGCTCGGTTCATTATCGTCTTCTTCGTGTTCTGGGAGTGTGTCATCGTCCACTACTATTGCAGCTACACCAGGGTCAGACGAGCTGGGTGAGATAATTGAGTTGCCGAGTTTGGAGGGAACTTATGACTCGTCCGAGTCTAATAATGAACTGGCAGTGGTTGACTCAGCCGAGGGATGGCTGTTTCCGCCGTGGTGGGCCTCGGATAAAGAGTTTTTTGAATATTATTTTGATCAAGTGGCCGTTGGAGGAAGTCTGGTTCCATGCAATTTTTAGAGGTGTACCTTGTGCTTTGTTGCTTGTGCATTCATATTGTGTATAATTTCACTTCCCAAATCATGTGATTTTAGTACACATACTGTCTATAGTATACAAATTTACAGTGTTTGCCTGTGGTATTGTAAGTTTGAATTTTAACTTAAAAATTATTACTTATAAGTCTTTTTCCCCTGTAATATTTAGTATTTTCTATTCATGAGTAGATATAAAATGTCAATTAACTTAGTCTCTCTTTGAAGACAATTTATAAGTTTAGTTAGAATAAAACAATGATTTAACCATACAATCAAAATTTTCATTCATTATAATTTACATATTTTATTGGACGGCTATTATTCCTCTTTATAAATTGATTTATAAATTTTGCCAAAATGGAGAATTAAATTCTAATAATTCCATGTTTAATCAATTTATTATGGCGTATTCTTAATGATGAAGTTCTTAAAGATTTTAAATTTTCAATATTTGAAAATTAAAAAAAATTCGTACTATACCATTGCACGTTAGGTACGAAAAACTCAATGGAACCATAAATAATAATTAATAATTTTGTCACGTACTTAATTTTTGCTAAATTCTATTTGCTTCATTACTCAAAATGTAGCGATATTTTATCATGTCGAGTTCTATTCAAAAAAAAATTTTTTTAACAATAAAAATATGAAACATAAAGTTTATGACTAATCGATTTATATTTTATTATGTCAAGTTCAATTATTTTTTCCCTTTTGGAAAAATCTATTCAATTACATTCACAAATTATGTGCGGTATATTATAAGTACCATAGGGGATAAATTAATAGTTGTAAATTATGTTTTTTTCAATGATATATCTTGTCAATGTCTAAGCTCAAATTTTTAAATTCATTTTTTTCAAATTTATTTTTGACAACATATTTTCTCAATAAATTTTTACACAAAATCAACAAATTTTCTTACTTTTAACCGCATATTTGGAAAAAAAATGAAAAATATATTTAAAAAAAAAAAATCAAACAAGGACTTAAAATCAGTATACAGTTCTAGTGGGTAATCATTGTGCATATTGCGTTGCAAATTGCAGCCACGTAATTTGTTTTTTTTTTTTTCTTCAATTCTTTTGGTCAAAAGGGTCGCTCATTACTCCAAAATTACAAGTACCAAGTTACACAGTCCGTACGAATGATCGCATGGTTGACATAATACGCACATATAGAGTGTCGGGATTATTTTATTCATGGGGATCCATGTCGACCATGTGAGAGTGTAGTCACCCGGAGTGTCAACGGCGTGGGTCGTTTGATTTTTTCCGTTGCTCATTATTTATAACCCTAATTAAGATTTTTATTCCTTCATTTCTTGTTCATAAAAGGGACGATATATTTTAATTCAAAAGAAAGAAAAAATTTGGGCAAAGTCATACTTGCATCGATCAAATTTTCAAGAATATTGCTATCGCTTTCTTGTGGACAAAAGATCAAGAAAAATGAGGATACATTTTCAAATTGCATAGTTTTCAAATCCTTGTAAAGAAAATTTTATGAAGTAGATTTTTAAAAATGGTGATTATATTTACAGCACAATTTTTATTTGTTATATCACATTTTAATTGTAATTAATTTCTCTAATCTTTACTAATTGGAATAATTATTTCTTTAACTTTTGTCATCGAATTTTTATCTCTGATCTTCTATTAATTAGTACGTCTCGTCGTCGATGATGATTTATATCCAAATATTTTATTTTCATGCTTTAAAATGAGGGAAAAAAATTATTTTTTATTTTTTAAAAAAAATATAATGAAAAAATTAGTTATTTTATGCCATTTGAATGAGCTTTTGGAAATAAGAATCTTTCTGCGGTGTGCTCCATTTACTATTCATTCATACTTTCTTCTTTTTACCATGCGATAGGTCAGCGAAGCGTGAGCAATTATTATCAAAAACAAAAATGTTTTAACTAATAAAAAATTTGAGGATAAGAATGACAAGAAAAATCGATAGGAACATAAGTATTGTAATGAATAAAGTCGATGGTTGCACAATTTTGATCTTATAACTTCGTATGTACTGAAATTGATGGTTTTACATGTTTATGTGTTCATAGACTTCTGTTGAATTTAATAACATGGATGCTAACAAATAAGAATATCATTGTAAGTGTGCACCTTCTTCATTGAAAGCTAAGTTCAATGGCTTTTCACTAATTCAAAGATATGTGAGTTATAATTGTTTTAGCCTCGTTTTGTATAGCTAAAAATTATATTTTCAGTAGATTTTGATTAAATGTGTGGTAAAAAGTTAATAAAAGTTGTGGATTCCATGAAATATATGATTAAAAATGAATCTGAAAGAAATGAGTTTTTAAAAAATGGAAGCCAAACAAATTTGAACTTGAAGCCGATGTCAGTTATCCAATGTCAAGAAAACAGGACTATTTTAAAAATGAAGTCCTTCTCCCACATATACGTTGGAGATGTTGCATGAAATATAATTCAAACTAAATGACAAAAGAAACAATTAAGAAATGGAAACAAATTATTAAATTTATTGGAAAATGTCTTTTTTACTAGCTGGCGATAAAGTTTTGGGGGACAATGAATTGATGAAGATACTGTGAGGTATTTGAAAGTGACAATTGTCCATCGATTCCAACAGTACTGGAAAATTACTAGTAGTGGTAAAGTTTTGTGGCATTGATCAAAAATGGATTCTCCAATGTCTTCTTTTTTCCGTCATCATCAAATAGACAAACACTACAGAACATGACTCCCGAAGTACTTATATGTCTATATATTATATCTAATAAGGACAAAATGTCAATGAATTTACCAAATTAAGCCGGCCCAAATGTCACATGATTTTCCTAATTAAGTGAAACTATAGTTTATTACTGTGCTCATGTTTGAACCACGTTCTAGGGAAAAAATGCATTATTCATATCAAATCAATGAGAAATGTATGGTTAAAAAATAAGGAAAGATTTTAGATTTAAAAGGTAATATTATTTTATTGAAGAATGTGATTGAAATGATATCAAATCACTGTTGAAGAGTGTATTTTTTTGAAAATAATGTGGCTCAAATAAGCCCACATTTTTCATTTTGATATCTATGATTGTGTATGGACCATTCAAAATAGATTCTCAAATTTCCTACTTTTGTCTATCATCCAATTTCTTAAGGTACTTGATTTCTATATTACTATCAAAGGAGGGATCGAAAATCACATGGGATAGCCAAAAATTAGTTGAGCAATTTTTTTTGGCGCTTGGATAAAAAATGTTGAATTTGAGACTAAAATTGGTATAATTAGATATGGCAATTTGGCTCGTCGACTCGAACACCCCGTGATTCAGCTCGAAAAAAGGTTCGAGTCGGCCCGACTCGATTCTACAGGCCAAGCCTCATTTTGGAAAATTGGGCCGAGCTCGAGCAGGCCTGTGTGGCTCAACGGCTCGACTCACGCACCAATTATAAAAAAAAAACAAAAATTTTAAAAAGGCAGCAACACGCGTGCTACCTTAAATAAGGCAGCGTGCTGCCAGACTATAAGGCAGGAGCAGCGCCTTTTTTATTACTAATAATAATAATAATAATAATAATAAAGAAGCCTGCTTTGCTAGGCTCACTAAGGCCCGAGCTTGCCTTGATTTTTCAGCTTGGCTCGGACTTGCAAAAAAGCTCGACCATTTTACTCGAGTCGATCCCGCTCAGCTTGTTGACGTCACTAGATATAATACACTTAAGTTATAGAGTTTAAAGGATATCTTCATAATTTGATGGGAATCGATCCTCAAATATGAATCAAAAGTAATTGAAACATACAAATAAGCGTGGTTAAAATACCTGATCTAACTTTATACATTGCATAGATTAATTCCAATGACAAAAAAAGAAAATAATAATAAATAAATAAAAAGTGATCCACTGACCTTTTTAGTGTTGTAATTGGGTCAATAGTTAGACCAAAGTGAAAGATCGAGGAGTTACAAAAATGAAAATCAAAGAAAAAGCTAAATAATTTTGACAATGACATCTTCCTTTCAGAAAAAATGACAACGGAAAGGACAGAGCCGAGTCCAAAACCCCCAACTTTTATTTCTTGTTTTATACCCCGACACGCATTTGAACTGAAACCATTAGGGCTAATCTTGTCCTACCAAATTACTGTTGGAATTTACGAGTACTTGACAATTTATAGTGTAAATTCGAATAAGAATTCAACGGGTACTATGATTGAGTACGACGTTTCAAGTGAAATAGGTGCATAATAAATAGTCATATAATATTTTTTTTTAATAAAATTTACATAGCTGAATTCTCAAAAAAGAAAAGAAAAAAAAAGTGTAATATGTTTACTTTGCCGTTCACAAAAAAATCAGCTTTATGGTACTAAAAATCAGAAATAGAGCATCGACACACTTTCTGAATATTAAAAGAATCACTTCAAAATGGAATTGTTGAGAATTAGAAACTCTAATTCTATTCCATTGAGAGTAATCTATACACAGAAGGAAATAAAGATACACAATATTTATAAAGCTTCATCTTAATATAGGGGTGTCCTTTTCAACCGCTACAATATCTTACTATCAATGGCAGATGCAGACATTTGGTGTTAGTGTGGCACGATCAAACTTATTAAAAAGTTATTAAAACATTATTTATACTACATGAACACATACAAATGATCATTATCATAGATTTACAAATCTCTTATATATGTAAAATAATAATTCTCAAAAAATTTCAAATAATCTCACATATATGAAAAATAATAATTTCCAAAGAATTTTCAAATTAAATATCGTAGATGACAAAATAATCTCAACTCTCACTCTCAATTGTTCGGTCATCGCTATAACTCTATTCTAATAAAAAAGCCCAACTACCGTTACTACCCAAATATGATTTTTGGCTCTAATACCCTGAAAAAAAAAATATCTTGAAAGTTGTTGGGTCAAGTGACCCACCAATCACCTAAGATGTTTAAACTCTCGTTTGAATCAAAACTAAGAGGCTCGTGACTAGATAATCGAACATCATTAGAAGAAAAACATTTTTGAAAATAAAATATATGATTTAAGAAATAAACACCTTTTTTTCCATTTGGCCGTTAGAGATGTTACATCACCAAATTTAAAGTAAATGACAAAAGGAAACATATGAAAAAGGTAATATAA